CAAAAACACACACTGCTGGGCCACCCCCAGAGATCAATTCATTACATCGGGAATGAATCTAAGAAATTTCATTTCTAGTAAGTGATGCTAAGGCTCCTGGCCAAGGACTGCACTTTGAGAATCATTTGTCTGTGGGAGTGGTTCCAACCGTAACTGCATATTAGAACACAAGAGAACTTTTGAAAAAACACCAGTCTGGAGGTCTCTCATATCAACAGTACCAGAAGTTCTAAGGGTAGATCCTAGGCACTGATATTTTTAAAAGCTTCCTAGACAACTAATGCTGTAGCCAGGGTTAAGGACCACTAGTCTAGTTAATTGAAATGCATCTAAACTACATCCACAGAGAACAAATGTTTCTTCATATAAAAGCAGGTAAGGATTTTAGCCTGCATCTTCTGATAAAAAACCCAATTAGGAGTAAAGATTAAATTCAGTATTGGGGCCTCAGTTGCTTACATAACTAGGGTTTAACTCAACGGAAGTATGTGGCTTTGTACTGTCTGCTTTAAACCCCAGGCAAAACCTAAAGCAAATCTTTAAGTCATACAAAATGGCTGACCTTTGAAGGCAATGGAAGCATAGGCTACGTACCAATATTGCAGACTGGTTAACTCTTAGGCTCTTGATTCAGGCCATTTAACAGATGTGACCTATGCTAAGTTACGTAATTAAGCCTTGGTCTCTTCATATGGGTATTAATAATACTAACATTACAATTATGCTAAAGATTACATGAGCATCCGTTGTAAGATGTTAGCTCAGTCTGGTACGCATGGTTTAATGTGATCTCAATCATTATAAGTTATGCCATAGATATTCTAACTTACCAGAAACCCTAAGGAAATGACTGTCCTTTTTCAAGTCTATTTCTTCACCTCCAGTCAACATCATTGCTTTTAATCACAAGAGCTTCAGGGTCTCTACTCTTACAAGACCAGTTTCAGCTTTGTGAATTTAGATGTTCAGTGCCCTTAAAATTGTTAAACTTTAGTATCTTAACAACAGGGAGGCTAATTTATTGGGATAAACTCACACTTCTAGAAATCTAGGGAAGAATACAGTTGACAAGCTTACTGGGAAATATGGGAGAATTTGATGTTCTTTTTTTAATTGACCACTTAATCACTGCATGATTTATAACTGCCTGTATTACCCTGACATCTGCTCACTTCGAAATCCTCTTCCTTTTTCTTTCTGTCCAAAATACTACTAAAAATAAAAGTTTCATTCAGGCATAGTCTCTCCCCAGTAATCACCATTTTGGAAGAAAAAAGGTAGCTCTCCTCACAGCCAAGTTGTGTATGCCTGCTGACAGGGTGCTTTAAAAAATCTTAAGGATCTCAGAATCCCTTGGAATCAAAATCTCGAGCCTAAATCTAATATTCCAAACTGCCAACTCTTTCTTCCGAAGTACTTACTAGGTTAGTTGAGTTCTAAAAATATGAGGCTCTTGCTAAGACAAGAGTGACGACAGAAGAGTGGTAGAGAATAGTGGTCAGGAAAAACCCCCAAAATATCTACTTTATATCAGTTACACTTTGATGGTAACTCCATGTCTGCTTTACATTATTTGCAGCAAGATGTGAATCATGAAGTTGACAAGACTAATCTAGGCCTTATGACTGACAAGCTACAAAATCTTCACAAGAAACTCTTAACAATTCAGTCTATGTTCATTAAGGAATCTACAGAAAACAGACCTTTAAAAACAACAAAACTCTTAAACCTTAAAACATTTTAGATAGGCCTCTTAACATAACCTGCTTTTTATGAACTTACAATGTTTGTATCTATAATTTTGAAAGGAAAAGTGGAAAAGATTAGGAAACCTGTGGTTTTATTTCTACTTTAAAACGATGTCTATTACTAGATTTTGTCTGGCTTTTTTTCATTTGCTTTTTGAAACCCTTCTACCTAATAAGTAACATTATAAATCTCTAAGACCTATCATTCCTCATAGATTAAAAATTGTTTTTAACTATGCTCTGACTGGAATATGGATTAAATATGCAAGAATATGCCTGTTTATCTTGTTCTGAGCCAGCAAATATTTTAGTGAAGTTAATTTCAAAGATGGAGTTCATCTGGTCTAGTAATATAGTAGATCTGTAGTTGACTATAAAAGTTAAACAGTGCCATTTTAAACTGACCAAAGCTGGCAGATCCCAAAATAACTCCTGAGGCAGTTCCCTGGTCTCGTGCACAATACCTCCTAGCCTTGGCTAAGTAACAGCTTGTTCAAATTGCACTGCTGCTCTCAATGTATGGATATATGATTAAGCAGATTATTTTCAACTTACTCTAGAGGGGGAAAATGAAGTTGGTCCATTGAGGGAATGATAGTACTTAATCAGTATCATAAATTGAATGGATTGATATCCTGTGAGTACTTAAAGCCTATTTAGTAAGTTTAAGTACAAACACCATGTGAGAAATACTACCTTGGAAGTATTTAGAGGAAAGAATCTCTAATTCTCCCTGTCTAAGGTTTAAGATAGTTAATGCTTATTTACTTGCTACTTCTCAGGGCAGACTATTCTTTACTCTTAGAGATATGTGACTTGGAGGAAGTTGATTATCCTGAAACTTACCTCCTATGTTGTACAGAACAGAACTTCCTTCTAGACAGAGCTTTTAAAACAGCTACCACATTCCAAGTCTTTTTAAGCTAAATACTTAGTTCTTTCAGCTACTTTTCACAATGGTTTTAGATTTTTACATTTTGGGTTCTACTCTGAAGATGTACCAGATCCAGCTGATACTGTTCTTAAGACATGGGAGATGGAAAACAATATTCCGAACAGGAATAACCAGCCTATTACAATAGTAGCATCACTGAGCTTGTTCTAGATACCTTACTTCTAATAAAACATCCTTACTTTGATTGTGGGCCAATCTACTGACTTACTCAGAGCTTACTTAATAATAATCTGTTAATACTACCAAGTCATATACTCCAAAAGCTCTCTTAAATGCATCCTCTATCCAAGGAAGTAAGAACTGGTTTAATAACTTATTGAAATCAACATGTACTTGACTATAGCTTTAACTTTTCTAATAACCATGAAGAGTGAAACTTTAAAAACACTGGTTATCATAATCATGTTGGGTCAAGAATCTTTCAAAGTACTTATACCAGCCTTTTGTTATTTGGTACTCTTATCCAGAATTTCATGTTTTACCTTTTTTTTTTTTTTGGTATCATTAATGCACAATTACATGAGCAACACTGTGGTTACTAGATTTCTCCCATTATCAACTCCCCACCACATATCCCATTACAGTCACTGTCATCTACTTTATCTTATATTTAATTTTATAGTTTTATTCTCTTTTAAAGATGTGACATTTACCTACTGCTAAGCTTCTTTTAGCTTTTCTCAAAGTTCAGCTATCAAATCTTTAAGTTGCCAATACTGAAATATTTAATTCCATCATATAAAATTACTTAGGAAGAGAAATCTTAGTCTTCTCATGCATGTTGGATTTAGACCCCCTTTTACTAACATTCATTCTAATCATGATGAATTTCTCCTTCATTAAAAAAAGTCAATCACAAGTTAAAGAAACTGTGATTTGTGCTTTAACATTACACCAAGCCCAGGCCTATCCTTAGAAAGTCTTAGTCAAAGACTAAGAACCCTTAAACTGTAAAAATCTAGTAAGCCTTAGTTCACTTCATGTTTAAAGCTTCTTACTCTATTTCTATGCCACACTAGCCATTCTGCATAGTATTTTTTATCAAATAATTCCTTTACTGGCCAGAATCAGGTCCCATGTAGCAGTTTTCCTAGTTATTTCCTCTATTCTCCAAGAAATAAAACTCCAAGCAAATCAAGAACTCTGTTTGTTTATAGCAAATATACAGAAAGCTAAGACTTACCTACTATAGTATCTTTTCTCTTTGCTATGGCATTCTTAAACTCAGAGACTGATTACCAACACATCAACTCCAATCCCCTTCTATCCCAGTCTTAATTTACCAATATTGCTAGTTCTGGCCAATTCCAGATCTCAATACTCATGCTATTTGTTGGTTCTATTACCATCTACTATGGTAAATAACAGTATGTGTCTCGTTTGAAGTAAGCCATGTTGGCAAGTTAGCTACAATCATAAGGAATATCAGAAAAGATTAAAGGGATCTACTTTTGACCCCTTTCCAGGTATCATGGAAATCTGAGCTGACACCAAGTCTTTTATATGATTTTGTGATAGGAAAACTCAAAACTAGTTTAGGATCTTTCAACCCTCATAAAAATTTGGTAGCATAACATTTTTCATACATATTAAGAGTAGTACTTGAGTGATGACTAAGTTCATTTAGTGTGTTGAATAAATACTAGTCCCAATAGTAACTCTGTACTAGAATTTTGTTAATAGGTAAAGAAAATGATAATATGGTCTAAGAGTCTAGGCTCTCAAGGGAAGTTCTTAATATTGTTTTCATGCGAACATTTAAAAACATTTCATTGAGGAAGGAGCACTGGGACAATTGCTGGGTAAGGGTTTTTTTTGGCAGTGGGTGGGGGTGATAAAAATTTCTAAAATTAGTCTGTGGTAATGCACAATCCTGTGAATACACCAGAACAATGAACTGCACCCTTTAAATGGGTAAATTTGTGTATGTTAATTATTTCAATAAGTTATTAAAAAGAATATTCCAACCTCCTTCTAATGGCTATTATATACTTTGTAAAATATTAAAATACATATCAAAAAGCCTAATATAAAAGAAAAGACAAAGAATAACCCTTACATACTAAATTAAACCAGGTATTAGCATGCCCCAAACAAACCACTTAGGAGCCAGAGATGACTGAGCACTAAGGAGACCTTATTATGTTACAACCACTAAACAAACAAACAGTAATAGACTGAACATGACCCCTAAATGATTTCTTTAGAAAGACTTATTTGAAAACAATCTTGAAATGGAAGGCTTTGCCTCTATAAACAAAAACATGAATGAAGTCCTCAATAGCATGAGCACTTACTCATCATACTCGATATGATAAATAATGTCTTCATCAGCAGCAACAGAGTCTGAATTAGATGTAGAGGGTACACTGTCCAATTTATTTGTGTTCTCTTTGGAATTATGATTTATATTTCCATTAGTCCTTTTACTAGAACTGCCATTCTTCAGTGGAGTTTTGCCACGTGACTGTCCATCAGAAGCTCTAGTAACACTATGTATACGTGCTTCAAACCAAGCACCAAGGCCGACATCTCTGGCATCCACCAGTTCATTTACCTAAAAAGAGTTTAAAGTTAGTTAATGAAGCTTAATTTCATCTACAGCTTCAGAAACCTTAATAAAATTTAAATTACTCTGACGGTTATTACATTTAATAATATTGGTAGCTACTCATATTTAAAGTTATTTCAATGTTTAGATCAAAACTATTCTTTTTGGATTATACTGTCAAATCTGTTATTTACAAATAAAGTTACTTTCCTCCCAGTTCCCTTCAGTGAAATAGCTGTATTCTTCAACTATTCCTTACCCATGTCTATGTTAGACTTTTTAAAACTGTAATCATGTACCCAACAGTTATACTGACAAGTACTCAATAAGAATGTCCCTAATGAAAAGCCAGGAGTTCAACATAGTATGACTGTGTTTTATTTAATTTGCTCCATTAATTTCTTCAGAATCCTTAAGATAGATTACACAGTCCAACCAGAAACCAGTGTAGTATTAAACAGAAAATAAACCTTAAAAATGAGGGAATTACACACATATACATAGGGAATAATCTAGTGAATCCATCTATACAAAATGGGGCAAGTTCCACTACCATTACTCACTAGTAAATGCATTACCTAGTACCTCAAAAAGCAAAAATAGAAAAGAACAAAGCTATAAGATGCAAAATGGATGTAGTCAAGTCTAGTGTGTGATACAGAATTAAACCATGCAATCTATAAAAAGGAAAACAGTATTAGAAAACAGGTATACAAGACAAGTTGAGAGGTACAATGAAGAAAAATTGGGGGGAAAATCCTCTCCTAAAAAATTTGAGTAAATTGGTCTAAAGGTCAAGGCTCTTTAAGGATCAATAACAGATCCTTCAGTTTTTTTAAGAGCCCTTAAAAACAAAAAAATGAAGTGACATCACTAGTACATAATCACTACCCAATCAAGCTAGCTTAGCTCTTCCTGAGGGGAAACACTTAAAGTATCCAACAGAATTCTGACAGATGGTATCGCTTGGAGAAGTATGTAATACAAGTTAAATATCCAAAAGCCACATATTACGCAAGGCTCCTTTACTTAGGTTTGTCTAACTCTAACAACCTTAATTAATAATTCCTATTTTACAAGGTAACGAACAAAGACTCTGACAAATTAACTTGAAACAAGTAAAAGCTAATGAAATGTAAAGCTAATTTGAAGACATCTTGACCTTGAAGCTTATCACTTGCCACTGTATCATGAAACTTAATGACAAGTCTTCAAAGTAGGAACTTTAAAAGTTACATGATGAACTAGAAATAAGGTATTAAAATATAAAAAGGTTTCAAACCATCCAGCTAACACAGAAGGTACTAGTACAGAAAAAACAAAAATGATTATCTATCATTACCAGAGTAAGTACAGTATTTGACCAAAGGCACTGTATGAAACAGCTTGAAAGACGTAAGGTTCAATGTAACACAGAACTGAAGAGTTTACCAGAAAAAAACAAAGGGGGAACCAGGCTAGACTGGGATGAGAGATGAGAGATGAGGCACAGTATACACTGCACAAAGTAATTCATGTTAAATGGACACGGGCTCTTCTGCAACAGTCATTGAAAAGTTTAAAGACATTTAGTTTCTAACAGGCCACTCTAAGTAAAACAAAAAATAGCCAATGTTAAGGCCTACCATATTTAGACTATATGGGAGAATAAACTGAGACTACTCTTTCACAGCAAATCAAAATGTTAGGTGGTTTCATATAGCAATATAATTATTATTCTAGGAGACTGGGCCTATAGTTGACACTAAATCAGCAAAAATACATTCAGCAATATAAACATTATGGAATAATAAGAGATACTGAATTTGCAAATATAAAAAACAAGCAGGCAGATCTAGTATCTGTATACCTCGACATCTGTCAATACAATTAGAGTTAACAAACAAGTCAATTTAAAAACACTGTCACTGCTTCGTATCACATGTAAGAGAAAACTTATTAGCTCACAAAGGTAGGACGCTCACAAAGGTAGGACGCTCACAAAGGTAGGACGTTGAGTAGAGTAACCCTGTGTTTGTAACTAGAAATAAAACTACTGTTTTTTATAATTAGCCAGAAGAGTGCAGCAAAACTATAAATTCTATTTGTTATGATTAACCACTCATGATACTGCATATAAACTGAGTGAAAAAGAATGCTTTTAAATTGAAAAGTAAAGTTTCTGCACATTATATAGATATATAAAGTCAGGCCAAATCTGAATGGGTCAAACTGCATGTAAGAGGTTAAAGGTCTTTTGTGAAACCTTTTTCACATGGTTCACAGGGTTTTGAATGTGGTTAAGAGGATTATGTAACTTGTATGATTAACATAACAATAGAGGATACTGCCATAGTAACTTCCTTAGCAATCCAGTTGAAATTAAGAACTGAAAATCATGTCCAAACCCATAAAATGCACACCACCAAGTAACTACAGACTTTGAATGATGCTGTGTAAATGAAAGAAGTATACTGATTCTAACAAATGCACTACTCTGGTGGAAGATGTTGATGAGAAAGGTTATGCATGTATGTGGTGGGGCAGGGGGCAGGGTACATAGGAAACCTCTGTACCTTCCATTCAATTCTCCATGAACCTAGAACTGCTCTGTGAAGTCCAATCTATTAAAAAGTAAAAATAAAGGGAAGAGTGAAACAGTAATTAGCCAGAAGACTGTAGCAAAAAGCAGGAAGGACAGAATATGGAACAAGAGGAAGACAGAATATACATGTGTTGGAAGACAGCCAAACGTATGTGTGGGTTGGAGGATGGTCTCAATTGCACCTGCAGGATTTTAATTTATGGAGGTGACTGAGTGACAATAAGGAGAGGTTTATGCCATAGAAAAGATTACTTACATTTTCCAAGAGAAGGAGGCATTCCATACAGGGTCATAACGGGGAAGTACCAAGTTTGGTCAGAAAACAAGGAACAAGGGAAAAACACTGCCCAAAAACTTCACTATGTTTTTCCATAAAAAAGGCAAAGCAGGGCAGGGAAAAGAGCTTAGCACTAGCTAGTCTGAATAACACTGGCAGGCTCTAGGATGATCTCTACTTATCTGGTACCTGACCTTGGGAAATATTGTTTGAGTTAGATAAAGGAGGTGGCTGGGTTGTGGATTCCAGCTGGTTTGTGTAAGAAAGACATGCTCACTGACAAGTTGTTTACTGTCTCTTCCTACCTGGCCCTGAAAAATGTAGTCTATCTTCACCAAGCAACTGCCCCCACCTCAAAGATGTCAAAACTTAATAAAAGATGGAGAAAAACAAAAACAATTAATGAGGTAGGAGTGTTTAGAGCTGAAAGCCATAAAGTGGAACAAACAAAATACCCCAATCACATAAATCTAAGCTTGAGGGCTGGTTTATTCATATAAAAAATATAGGTATATTTAAAGAAGAGTCTTCCATGTCCATATATTTGATATTTTTAAAAATCCAGAAATATGGAAAGCAAGGAGAAATCATTAATACCAATAGCAAATAATTGAGGATTTTACTATTTGCTGAATATACTTCTAAGCACTTTATATGTAGAAAACACCAGCTCTGCAGATAAACCTAGGTTTAAGTCCTTGTCTATGACCTACTAATTGTAACCTTGAGTGAGTTACTTAACCTGTCTTAGCCTCAGGTTCTCTGTTAAAGGTTAAAGAACTTGTTGAAGGGTAATAATAGGATAATGTTAATAAAAAGCAAATAAGTGATTACTACAGAAGTTTGGTTTGTAGTTACAACTAGGGAAGGAGTTATAATCAAGAGGGAGTACATGGAAGTTCCTGGGGCACTGCTATTCTATTTCTTAATTTGGGTGGTGTTTATGGATGTCAACCTCCTAAAATTAAGCTATTTTTTTGTATTGTCTATTACACTTAATAATCAAAAAGATTAAATATAAAGCACAGTTGCACCACAAAGACAGGAAATGCTAAAATATCTGTGATTTTTACCTAGTAGTTACTGATAATTTTCCTATTTCCTACAATGAGCATAAAACATGTGAAAAGTTTAACAGCGCCACATACTTAGCTAAACCCTGTATGCTTACTATCATCATTCCAATATTTAGGTCAGAATGACAGTCCTTTGAACAGTATGATCTTAGGTGAGTCACATAAAGCTTCCACATCCAAAAACCCAAATTAAAATAAACTTAGTTATCAAAAGTCCTCATTTCAGAATAACTTCCTGGAGTCAGTGTGATTCAAATAGCTGGACCAGCCTCCACCCAAACTTCCACATGCTCTCCAAATGTGACAGTGATAGCTAGTTTCCACAACACATGAAGCTGACCAAATGCTGCTCAAAGTTATCGAAGAGGGTAATGATGAGTAACAAACTTCAGATTATAAAATTTAGGCAAGAAGGAAGAAAAGCCCCCAAATTTGTGAGCTCACCCACAAAGCAATATTAATTACAGAAAGCCCTATGTACTTCTATAAAAGGAAAACGTTTGCGAGCAAAAGCAACATAGGTTAAGAATTCAAGATAAGGGCAAAAACAAACAAAAATATCTCCCAATATATAAGCAATCTAGAATTTAATGAAATTTAGATAGATTTATATTCAGATATTTGCTTGAAGGAAAACAGATAAAATTCAAAGAAAATTACAAACAAATCAATTCAAAAGTAGCTCCTAAGCATTTTTAGGTTAGCCCAAAAGAGTATCCAATAAATTCCATAAAGGCAGGGGGCAAGCAATATAATTTGTTTACCCTTCTCTGTCTCTAATACCTAGTATAAATATGTACTAGATATTCAAGTAGCCAATGGATGGTTAGCCAAAAATATAGTATATATGTAAAATATATATATATAAGGTTACCAATCAAAATTTCAAATTCCTAGGACAATTACTGAGCTTCACCAAAAGCAAATCTTGTTTGCCTCTTCAACTAACAACTAAGGTTAAATGCAGCTTGAACATACTCCTTTAAACAGCAGACTTTTGAGAGTTCAAGTGCCAGGTCCCAAGTGTGCTTCTAAATGAGGACAGGGAGACGATGTAAAACTTACTTGCCAAGTTTGTACAACTCCAAAGTGGCTGAATTAGAATTTGAAACCAAGCTGATGACAAAGCCAAAGTCCTTAACAACATCTATGCTATATATTAATATGAAACATAAAAGCTATTTTAAGGAAGTTGGGCACTATAAGTAGTTGATAGCCAAAGGACTAAACTGAAAACAAAAAGCAAAGATCTAAGAGAAGTAGCTTCTCATGATGCTCCTCTGAAATAGATTGGGGGGCAGGGCCATGGAAAGTTATTAAGTATACTAAAAAGAATTTAAATTAACCAGAACTGCTTCATCTTGATTAATCTCAAATCTGCAGATATATAAACTGGCCCCCCTATGAAAACAAATCCATACCTTCACTGACCTAAACAAATCAGGTCAAAAGTAGTAGCTTCTAAATTGCAGATCTTAAAAGAAGCTTAAAAAGTAATGTTGAGTTTTATATAGCTGCAGATGGTTAAAGAATGCTTTATCAAAACCCAAACAAACAATATCCTCCCACTCCCACAATAATAGGAGTATACAGAATGGACACAGAGAAAATAAAATATCCCTGTTGTAAATAAATGACAAACTGAAAAATAAGGGAGAAGAGACAAGTCTCCCATGTAGAAGAATTCCCAGTAATTTTTGTAGATACATCTGCCCTCAAGGAAGTAGCGTGTATAACTCCCCACTCCTTAGGTATGGGATGCATTAGGTGACTTCATCTCAAAGAATACAGAATGGAAAGGTGGAGGAGGGAACAGTAACTTCATTGTGAAGAAACCTAACAAAAATAGCTCAGCTAGGTGATTAAAATTCCTATCAACAGTGTTAAGTTACTACTGACATAAAACCTAGGTTATAATCAGTAAACAGAATGCTGATAATATGTGCCCTAGATATGGTAATGTGTTAAAAATGGCACTTCACCTCTGTGGTCTTCCGCCCCAAAACACATAAATCCAGTCTCATGAGGTAAACAGACAACTCCTAATAGGAGGACACTTGATACATCAACACCTGACCAGTACTCAAAACTGTCAAGGTCATCAAAAACAAAGTCTGAGAAACAGTCACAGCCAGGAGGACCCTAAGGAGACACAACTATGTAGTATAACACTAACATAAATGTAATGTGATATTTACTGTAGATGGAATTCTGGGGCAAGACATTACATAAAAGCTAAGGATATATGGTTCATTAATTACAACAAATGTACCATACTAATAGGTCAATAGGGCAAACTGGGTGTGGGATATATGGAAACTCTGTAGTATCTTCCCAGTTATGCTGTTATCTTAGTCTAACAGTTTTAGATTTACAAGTTTATTTAAAAAGTAACAATGTGAAAAATATCAACATAGAAAGTATTGGTAACTGAAAGAGGGATGAAAACAATGGGCGATGATGGAGACAATAATGGCAAATGGAATTTCATTGTTAACAATTCTGTCTGAACTGTGACTATTACACAAAGCACCGTTTTAATTTATCTGTTTTGGCCCTATCATGGAAGTTTATTCCCAGACTTTGTTTTGTTGTTGCAATTTTTGTTTCTTTTATTAAATGGTGGTAGCAAGAAAAGTAGGGGTATTTAAAAAGCCACCTTACTGATTGCTCATAATGCTCTAATATATCTTCTCAGCTTTTCCAGTTATCAGTAAGTAATAACTTTGCCTTCTCCAGTATTTAGATTTTGTTGTTCTCTTGCTTATCTGTGGTATCCTAGCACTTCTAGAAAGATGTTAAATAACAGTAGCATTAACTGGCTTCCTTGTCTGGCTCCTATCTTTAATGGGAATTGCTTCTGGCTTCCCCCCATTATTAACCATGATGCTCGGTGAGGTTTAAACTATTCATCTATTCCATCTGTTCCTCTTACTAAGGATTACAAACATAAAAACAAATGGACTCAAATTTTTAAATACAGAAAACATTTTAGATTGGATCATTTGTTTTCTTTGGTTTATTAACATAAATTATTATATTGGGGGTTGAGCAAAAGGGATAAAGACGGTCAACTGTATGTATGGTGATGGATAGTAACTACACTTGTGGTGATCACTTTGTGATGCATACAGATGTCAAATTATAAAGCTGTGTACCTGAAACTTGAATTAAAAAATAAAAAAGTCCAAATAATGAACTATCCCTGACAAACCTTACTTGGTCAAGGTATTATTTTCTTGTAATATATAGTCAAAATACCATTTGCTAAATATAACTTAGGTTTTACATCAGTATGTAGGGACACTGGTATGCTTTTTGTCATGTTTTAGTATCAGTGTTAAGCTAAATTTAAAAGCAATGAGAAAATTTCCTTTTATGTTGTGGGTCAATTAAGTAACAATTTCCTATTCTTTTACAGGTTTAAAGTAATTCATCAGGGTAGCCACCCAGGCAAGGTACTTCTGAGATACAGCTCTTTACCAATTTTCTTCATTCTTTCTATATATATGGATGTTTGTATTTTCCCATTGATCCAGAATCATCTCTGTATTTTCTTTAAAATTTTTCATTCTTGGCCTTGAAATGCTCAGAAAAATTGAATCTGGGCCCCAATTTATCCAACTAATAAGAATTAAGAAAACATACTTGTAAAGACAGGAAAGGATAAGGCAAAACTTGTCATTCAATTATTTCTACAAAATTAGAATTTGAAAAAGTTGGATACAAGGGTCAATAAATCAATAGCATGTATCACACATAAACAAACACATTGCAATTTTAAAAGATAACCACTTATAACAGCATCAAAAACAAAGCTACCAGAAAAAAAGAAGCTAATAGAAAACTAAGATGTCAAAGATCTAAATTAAGGGAGACATTTATCATTTCCATGAAGTGACTCAACATTCCTAAACTCATCTACAGATACAATCTCCAACCAAAATCCCACCACATCATTTACTTAGATGAGTTTTAACAAGCTAACTCTATAAATTTGGGAGAGAAGGGAAAGGAAGATATAAAACAGCCTACGAGGCTAGAGTTCTTGAACAGTATGGGCAGAGACAGACAGACCAATGGTACAACCTATAGAGCAGTTTGGCAGTACCCTGTGAGTGAACAACCAGCACTTTTAGATAAAAATGCCTAATGAAATTCTTGAACATGTGCACCAGGATATACACAGAAGGTTCAGAACAGCGCTGCGTATTTAAAACAGCTGAAACTGGGAACAGTCCAATCTATTATTAATCATGGATTAGATAAATATATTGTGCTATGTTAATAAAATGGAATAATAGTGAAAAATGAAATATAGCTAAAACGAAATATAGCTATCTGCATGAGAATCTCTCAAAGCTGAGAGAAAGTAAATTCCAATATACAAAACTCAAACACAGGAAAACCAAACCATACTGTTTAGAGATATATACATACCTAAGTAGCAACACTAAAGAAAATAATCAGAAAAATTAGAACAAGTAATTTACCTCATAAGGAGAGGGAAGATGTTCTCACATAGGGGCAACAAAGGAGGCTTCAAAAAGTAACTGGCATCATTCTACTTAATCTCATACAGGTGTTTGCTTTCTTCTTTAAGCTGTACATAATTTTATACATTCGTGTATGTATATTTCACAATTTTTTTTAAAGACTACTTTTTAAAGTATAACAGCACAATCTTTACTCTCAAATGAAAAAAAAAAATTTATTATCTGCAGCATCCCAAAGAGAACAGACATCTATCTGCACAGTCACACCTAACAAGTCTGAAGAAAACAACATACCTTATATAGTCCAATGCCAGGATCAATAAGAAAATCACGAGCTGATGTAGATGGCTGACTGGAAATTCCCACCCTTGGGATTTTCTTTACTTTAGGTGGACTTTTAGAACAGGGTTTGGCCTGTGTATCAGTCTGTTTAGATGTGCTAGGAAGATCAGGGTCTGAGCGAATTAGTAGCTGAATTATGTCATTCAGTCCAACATCATAGTCAAATAAAGTATATCCATTTTCCAACTAGAAAACAAGAAAAAGATTAAAATGCTTTTCTCAAAACTTGATCTTTCTGCATGTTTAGTTACCTACATATCCTGGTTAAATTATTAAAATTCATAGCACTGCAATTTATTGACCTTGAAACCACCCCTTATTAACTTTATGGCCTCTAATGTCAGTATCTTCTTGGAACTCAAATTCTTAAGAATCACTCCATATTAGCTCCTGAGAATACTGATAGTCACTGAAACCAAAAATGTATCATTGCTGCCTGTGACCTCACCACCTAGACAAAAAAACTAGATTTCTCACCAAGTTTTGTGTATTTTAATGAACAGTGCCTAAATCTACTGGGAAAAGAAAAGTTGAATTTTAAAATGAGTTGTTTTATGATCTTGTGTTCATAAAAACAGTAAGCTGTTTTATCTTTCTGAAGCACTGTAATTTCTCAAAAAATCAACCAGGAAAAAAATTCAAGCAGGAATAATTAAAATTCCTGATCATGCTATTCCGACTTGCCTAAAGTTCCCTCATTCTACCCATTTGTAAAGGTTATCCACTGTATCATAAAAAGTCTTCAGGACAAACAGTGAATAAATTAAATTATCTTGCAACTTACCCATATTGTTGCAATCTTGCAACAATTACCATAAATTGTTGAATTGTGTATCATACCCCATCCCCTCCACCCACAGGTTTAAGTTCTAATGCCAAGTATCTCAGAATGTGATCTTATTTGGAAACAGGGTCTCTGTAAAGATAATCAAGTTAAAAGTAGGTTGTGATTGGGATCCTTATAAAAAGTTTGAATTTGGACAGAGAGGCAAGCACAGAGAAGGAGACACAAAGAGAGAGAAGACAGCCACATCACTGGAGTGTTGTGTCTACAAGGCAAGGAATACCAGGGATTGCTAGCAAACACTAGAAGCAAAGGAAAGCAAGGAAGGATTCTCTGCTAGAGTCATCAGACGTAGTATGGCCATTGCTGACACCTTGTTTTCAGATTTACAGCCCCCAGAAGCTAAAGATTTTAGTTTAAGTCACCTATGTTTTGGTACTTTGTTACAGAAATCATAGGAATCTAATAGTCTCGTTTCTTTTATAATTAGCTGGACATTTCACCATGATAAAGAAAACTAAACTCCTTGAAAATCATAACTATCATCTCCCACAAAACATTACCAGTTTAAACACTGTTCATTTTTCCTCTTTGCATGGAACACCTATCACAATCCACAGTTCCCTAACACAGTAAAGCCATTATTTGGAGAGGGCCAAAGAGAATGAAAGTCTGTCTGAATGATTAACTTACTAATGTAGTTGGATAAGTAATTTTAATTCAAGTGGCAGAGAACACACCTAGCACAATTTTAAACATTATAGGTACGCCCATTTAAAATAGAACAAGTGACCGAGGAATTCACAAATTTCCCAGTGGGGGAATTAAACCATACAGTATCTGACAGGGTAGTTAATATTCTTACCCAAATGAGCCTAAGGGCGTCTCCCAAGTTGGTAAGAAGAAAAACCCTTATAGGGGCAGGGAGTTAATACTGATTACCTTATTAAAAAGGAAGAACTCCCTCTAATCCTGAACTCTTGGGCGAAAAAACTCAAGGAGCAACAAACTGTACATTCAGACCTTCAATTTAACATTTTCTAATAGTCCCCAACCCCCTCACCAAACAGTAAGAAAACACTAATTCTAGAACAGCTAAAGAAGCACACCTTGACTAAACATATAACTGTTGCACATTATGGCAAATATTTAAAAAATGGAAGTGTTCAAAGTGCAAAATAAAGATAAATTCTCTAAAATGCATGTTCACTGACCACACATTGCCCAAAATGAAGGCAGCTGTTAAGGTGGCAAAATAACTGAAAATCCCAAGTGTATCATAAACCTTTTTCCATTCAAATTTGAGGCATGAGAGTCCGAACGACCTTAAGGATATTACATTCAACCCCTCTGACTAGTGTCTGTCAAGTGATTAGTCAGAGTAAACACAAACTGTTTCAAGCAGTACTTGGTTTGAAAGGAAAAGCAATGTCTGAAGTCAGAGTGGAACACTAAGCCTTCCAGGGCATGAGGCTATGTAACAGACATGAGGCCCCCATCAACATGTAACCACCTTTCCTCCAATTATTCATGCTTGCTCTGATTATCATTATTATCCAGATTATCTGGGTAAAATTCATAGGTACCCTTCCAGTTTTTCTAATATGCCCCTACCCCCACCAAATGATCATCTACTACACAGCAAGTTCCACACAGCTAGGCCATTGTGAAGAATGTTAGCATTATTTGTTGCTTGAAAAGTACTGAAGTTTTCCCAAATTTAATCCAAGTGTAGACTGAGTTACTTGTCACATAAATTATGCTGTGAGTGGGGAGAAAGGGATTGGGTCACTTAGAAATCACAAAAATCCATGAGTTTCAGGGATGTAACTATTCTCATCTATATACATCAATGTCTCACAGAAGAAAATGTTTCAGAACTACCATCCCAGAAGATGCGGCTACAGAATTCACAATACTATAGAGACAGGAATGGTTCTTTTCTTTTTTGACCGCACACTTGAATTTTTATTGAAGGAAGAAATTTCAGTTAACAGGAAGAACTCTAACAGTGATGCAAGGAAAACTAAACAACCAAACACCAAGTCACAGTAGTTCATAAGAAAGTGGGGAAGTCATTCCCCAGGGCTACTGACAGGGATACAGGTGGAGGGGCACTAATTTAATAACTTTCACACCATCTGTATTATACAATGCTACACACAATCCTTTATATAGGCAAACACTTTTACTTCGTATTCAGTGTGGAAAACAGTCGGTAGGCAGGGGGGTGGGGAGGCAACTATTCAGTTTTTCTTCAGCTCTGGTTCATACCCCATGTCTATTATCTATTGTAAGTTTATCCTGTCAGGGGTAAATAGGAAAGAATGAGAGGAGAGAATCTTTTCAAAGTAGAAAAAGCTCTGGATCCTCAAAGATTTAGAGAACCACCAATATAACTCTTCCGTAAATGGTATCTCAAGGGTGCCTCCAACTCAAGTTCCCAGAGAATAACCAAGTGAGGTTTTCCTACTCTAACCAGAACTTACAGCCCTGAACTGCTGCTTTCCATTCTGACCCTCAAAGGGGAGTCAATTACACAATTACACTGCTTCTCAAATTTAATTTGCATACAGATCACCTGGGGACCTTATTAAAATACAGATTCTACTTCAGTAAATTCTGATTCAAGGCTCCCAGGTTTAGCTAATGCTGCTGTGCTGGTCCTGCTGATCCAGGGACCACACTTTGAGTAAAAAAAAACTAGTAGGAGACTGACTATCCTTCAACATTCATTTTCAAACTGGTGTTCATCAGAATCTCCCATGGGATCTTGTTAAATTCAACTACTTACAATTCTGGGACAAGCAGAGCATCTACAATAAATATCTACAAGTTATTCTGATACATACTGAAGCTTAAAAGCAGCAGACCTAACATACAAGGTAGGGAGTGGGAAAGGATTTACATCATAGACACTGTAAATCTGTCTTTATTTATGACATTTTCTAATAAGCATAAAGGCATTTTACAGGATAGGGGCACCCCTGTGATCCCAATCTGGTAGTTGCCTGCTATAGACACACTACCCAATGACAGGAGACTGTGGACTCCAAAGAGGAAGGGAGAATGAAGATAATAATGACTACCATAGCTACTTGTCAGCGTGTAAGAAGTTAACACAGCTGGAGCAGGGTCTTCCTCTGCCTCCAACTCAATGGGGCACCAAAGGTCCTTTCCTCATTCCTACTGGCTTATCACTGAGCTGAAGAAATCAAAGTGGTGAGTTATCAACTGTCCCATGGGAAGAAGTAAAAAGGTTGTTATCCTCAACAGTTTTCTGAACCTGGACCCACTTCCTGGTCTACTTAAAGTCTATTTGTCCTGAATTTAACCCAACCCCTACACCTTTTACTCAAGGCACAGCAAGTGCACATTTTCTGTCAGCACTGATAATTACACTTTAGGGGTGTTACACTTCAAAGAATGTACGGAAGTACATTCTCATGCTTCATTTTTCTTGTGGCTTACGTCACCAACATATCCCAGGATTTCATATACTATTTGTCCCAAGCTAGAAAATAAAATTAACATGCTTTTCATCTTTTACCAAAAGATAAACAGGTATTAGCCACTGGAGGCCCAGCAATATAAAGATACATAGTATTTAATACACATAAAATTACTCCAAAAGCAAAGTTTACAACTAAATCGAACGCCTGTTTTTACAAGTCAAACACTAAAGGGTCAGTATAAAACTGGCTGCAAACACATATCAAAGATGTTTTCACTTACTTAAAAAAAAAATAAAACTCCTGGCCTGCTCTTTCTCAGAGTGTAATCTTGTTACTCCGAAATTTCTGAGCAGTCATTGAAGGGTAAGCCTAGTGAGGGCAAGAAATATATTCCTTTCAAATCTTTTGTGGCTGTAAGAAAACGGCTACTTCTACCATGTCAAAGAGAGCAAACCACAGGACTGGAGCCAAATTGGTCTATCAACTGAAGGATTCAACTTTTTTAACGACTTAATTTTTTTTATAAGACAAGAAAAACAGGGTGCGTCTGGATCTCTAGGTACAGGCCATGAGAGACCTATGGGACAGGAAAAATCTTCAGTGGGCCAGGACATGTCCATACCACAGATAGGTATAGACAGAGATAATTAGACACCTTACCGCCAAAAATCACTTTTTTAGCCTTCGAATATGCACCGCTGGCTATATACTCCAATTGCTGGGTTAAAAGCCTGGGTAAGGAGATTATTAGAAAGTGAGCAGAGCAAAACAGTCCTCTGAGAATAACCCTCTGGCCGACACTGGGCAGTTCCCAGTGTTACATCAATCGCTCCTTCAGCTCAGGTCTCTAATCTTCCCCGAGAAAAAGATTCCAATTCTAGGAAAAGAGGTGAGGGAGGGGGATCAGTAGTTCTGGAAACCCTTCGAATATTTAATGTATACAAATCGCTTCCACAGTGAGGAGGCAGACCTAGGGTTCTTGTGTGTGAAAGGAAACAGTACGTAAGTTTCCCCCTCCTATCTGGGAGTGCGGAAGAGGCACGAAAGCAATGCAAGCGGTTACTCGAGTCAGCGCTGCCGCGAGCTAGAGCTACTGGCCCACCCCACCTTCACTGTGGCATGGCGGCCAGAGCCTGCTGCCCTCTCCACTCTCCAGGGGCCCAGAACTCGGCCGAGCGCGGGAAGTGAGGGAACACGAGCGCTCTGGCGGGCTGTGACTGCGGCTGCTGCCCAGCTGAAAGAGGGCAGCATGGTCTCCGCTCTCTATGCACCCCTGCCTCCAACCCAGCCAGGCGCACCTGCACTCGGGTCTGGAGGGAGCCCGCTGAGCCCCCTCGGTGGGTAAAGGGCCCGCACTCAGCCTCGCGTGCTGCCCACCTTAAGCGGATCCAGGTGCGCTCTGCACCAAGCCCTCCAGCCCATCCTGTCCACGCGTCCTGGAGGCGCCCCTCTGCCCTCGCCCCGGAACTCCCAAGGGGTACGGTGGGCGCGCCTCACCTGCTTGCCCCGGTAGAAGAGGCGCTGGCACTCGGGTCGCACGTCGAATAGTGCCCACACCCGCTCGCGCAGCTCCTCAATTGTGGCTTTGCGAGACACGTCCTCAATGGTGCGCGTCTGGGCGCCGTCTATAGTGCGAACCTGGATCCACATCTTGGCGCCGGGAGAGGGGGGCCGGCCCCGCTTTGTCTCCCCCAGCGTTTGCGGCGCCGCGCCCCGCCCGGCCCGCGCCGCCTCTCCGGCGGCCCCGGCTATCCGCTACCGGTGGGCGAGATCACACACAAACGAGGAAGACCGCCCAGACACCGGGCCCGACAGGCGGCGGCGACTCCTAGATCGCGCGCCTACCCAGCGGAGCTGAGTAGGAAGGAAACCGGAACCAGTCGGAAGCGCCACCGATGCCGCAACCCCCGCCTCACAAATAAGCAGCCTTGTCCGTGCCGCGCGTTGTTTACTTATAGAGCTCTAGCTTCCACATGGAGGTCACGGCGCCAACACGCATCTCGCGAGATCCACGCCGAGCTCCACCTTAAAGAGGAAGCAGCCGGGGAAGTGGATCTAGACGAGGGACCTAAAATGGAGAGGGCGGGGCGGAGAGACGGGAGGGCGGGGCTGCGGAGAGCTGTTCTTGCCCATCCGCCTGCACCTGGTCTCTGGACACGCCTTTAGTCTTCTGGTTTATGGGAGTTACAGGGCCTCCCACAACGGTTGTCGTATTTTTCCGTGTCTCGGGACCCTGAGGGCGAAGGACTCAAGGATGGTGAATACGTTCTGTGGCCTCAAAAACACCGAAAATGAGAAACTCTGACGTGCGCTTGTGTGATCATGAAAAGAAGGGTGCAGGCGGGCGCGGCCTACATTTTTGAGAAAGCACATAGGGAAATTGAGCCCGCTCCCCCGCGCCCAGTCGACCCGTACCCGCCACGCGGCCTGGCGGGGCCGACCGTGTCCGAAAGGCCCCATCGACCCTTCTATTCTGCGAACTCGTTTCCCGCCAGGCTCGAACGCTGCCTTCGTGCGTAAAAACCTGCTTCCTGGGGTTTCCCGCCGCTGGGCTGAGGTGGCTGGCGGCCCCAGGCCCACAGGCCGCTGGTCCTTCCGGTGTCACCCTCGGGCCCACTGCACTCACACCCAGACCTCAGGCTGCAAAAAGGGCCGCTCGCCTGAACCTGAGTTTCCATTTGTGGACCTTCCCAGTTACCGTGCTTTTGGCCTAAGGGATTGTAGGGAAATGGAAGACACTTTTAAAAGCTGCAGAACTACAACTCCGAAGAAAGAACTTCAAAGATCCTACTAGAACAAGTTCTCAGAAATAGGCCCAACGCAGCATTACCTAATAGTAGCCTTATTTAAAATGAAAATATGAAGAAAGCAAGCATACGAAAGTAGAATATATATATAAAAAACTTGGACTCCGTATTTGCCAAAAATCTGCAACTTGAATATTCAGACAGGTGCCGATTATTACCATAAAGGTAGAGCAGTGTTTTTGTATTAACCAAATTAATTAAGTACAGAGAAATCCACTACTATCATAAAAAAGATGTACCACCATAGGCATAGGAGAGACAAAAAAATGGAACACAAATATTTCAGGTCTCTGACCTTCCTGAAAGTTTTACATTCACTTAAATGCTTTAAATATAATTCCTCTTGTCTACCGATTTAATTAAGGAAAATTTTTAGTATCTATTATATACTAAATGAGATGATAGGGATAGGTAAAACATGCTTATACCCTGCCCCAATAAGGGATAGCTATTTGCTATTATAAAGATATAGTATGTAAGTATATTAAGAATTTATTTAATTTCCTGTGCAAAAAGAATTTACAATCTAGTTCAGGTAAGATTTAGGAAAATGAAAATTACATAAAGAATAGTTTAGTACTGAACAGTCTTCTGTTGATTAAAACATCAACTAAAGATGAGAGAAGGGAGACTAGAATGATCTGGGAGTTTAGGGATGGGGTACAACTTGACCTGAGTTGGATGATATATTGTAATGGGGGCACCATTTAAATGTTCAGTTCATGGGTTGAGATAGGCTTAATTTGTAATCCCAGTTTTGCTCTTTACACAAATGTGATCTTGGACAAATTATTTGCTTCAATTTCCTCAATGTAAAATGGTGTTTATAACATCTAATGAATGTCAAGTGTTTATCATAGTGCCTATCCCTTGGTAGTACTCAAGAAATTATTTTGTGCTGTTATTATGGAGAAGATTTAGATAAGCAGAGAATGCCCAGAGAGGAGAGAGTGCTTAAGCAAAGATGGGAGGTATGCATTTTTAGTAGGAAGAGATTTCATATCAAGGAAAGGTTGACTAAAAAGAGAAGGGCAGAGTGTGAAGATTAGCATTCAAAGCAGTAGATTTTACAGCCTAGGGATAAATTAAGGTTTTTGAGGAGTCCACTGACATAATTAAATATACATTTGGAAAGACACCAGAAGGAATGTAGAAAGATGCCTTAGGGAAAAATTAAGGGACCTGGAAAGAAGGGGGAGATGTTCAGAAAACTTAGTGAAGCTAGGCAATTGTGTCCATTTTGCTGAGATCTGCGGCAGTGGTAAAGAGAAGGGTAGATTCCAGAGAATTCTAGAAAATCAAGCCTATCAGACTTGTACAGTGTGTGGATATGAGGGATGAGGACAATTGAATGCTGACAACAATTCCCAAGTTTCTAGTTTGGAAGACTTAAATGGATGGCTTGGGTAGATGGTGATACTCTTAACTGAGCTAGATTGAACTGAATTTAACTGAGATATCTGATAGCTGGAAATAAAAGTACAAAGTTTTGAAGTGAAATAGGAAAGTTCTGAAAGAGGGACTAGTCAATACCTGTGAGGCCATTCACCCTTCTTAATGTGGTGGAGGATCCTTGGGGGGAAAAAAAAAGACTACTGTCAAAACTGGGTATCTACTGGAACTGTATAGCATTTGTATTAATCTAGTCAATATGGATCCCAAAGGATTGGCAGGATAGGGTTTAGAGATGTGAGACCCAGAAAAGATATATTTATACTACGCAGACCAAATTAATTACATCTGGAAACATAAGGTTAGGTGTGTAGTAAGTTATTTAGGATATAAATAAGTAATTGCAAATAGTGATTCAATATGTAACAAAATACATCCTTCTGTGTTTCTCTAAGCAGCATATATGCTAATTAAGGTTTTCTCTTTCCCTACAATGCTGTTGTCTGCTTAGGCAGCTGCCCAGTTGTAAAAACAAGATAGAAATTGTCTGACAAAAACTACAATATTAAAAAAAAAAAAAACTACAATATTAGTCCTGACATACCATGCCTTAGTACCTGATATGTAGCTGAAACAAGTTTGATATGAACAGAGAAAGAAAGAGGAATTATTTACACGGATGAAGAACAAATATTAAGTTTATGCCATCAGTCATGATCCAATATCTCTTCAAGTCAAAAGACACAAAACAGAGATAAAAGATTGATTGCTGAACTAATTATTCTAAAATCTTACCACCCCTCAGAATATCCAGCTTCCTCAACTAATGTCCCAAAGTCAAGAACTTTTATATATATTTAAAAAGTGAATTTCAATCTTCCATCTGAAGCTATGATTAATGTCTTCTCTTCTGTACCTCTATGCTGATTGTCTTATTTTGCTCTGTCAGAGCCACTCTCTCCCTACCTGCTGTCCTAGAGTCCAAGTGCAGCAAGTAAATCAGCGGGGTTGGTGTTCCCAGGCTACCAACTGAGTTTGGCCAGTGGGGAGGAAGCACAGACAGGAAACTGCAGGACAGGAAGAGAATGAGGTCAGTATATTTATACTCCTGGCTTTCTCTCTGAAGAGTCACCTTCAGCTGTCTGTTGCCTTTCTTGGAAGTCACTACTTCTGTTAAAGAGGCCTATTGTACAATGACTCACTCATGTTCTGGTAACCTCTCTTCTTGTTGCTTTGGGTCTAGGGATTGTAACAGCTCTACAGTACTAGATTCATGCCATATTCCTTCAGTTCCCTATATACCATATACCTTGGTCTATGCACCCTTCTTATTGGTCCTTTAGAGAGAAAAATCACTAAAGTACCTTAACTGGAGGTTTTGTTACAATCGCTAGTGCTACCTTTAAAAGAACTACATGTTATAGAAGTGAACTGGAATTTCTATTGACTAAAAAGTATTTCATATTGTGGCTCACTACTTTGACTGTATTTTTAAAGGGTGTGCTATTTCTCTTTAATAGATTCACAGGTTTTTATTGTGAAAATCTAGAGATCATTCTGGTCTAACCACTTTAACTGAAGAGAAAATGGCTTGGGCAAGGACAATCAATGAGTGACAGTAGTAGAGCTTAAACACGTGGTGTCCTCTCTAGCCAGTGTTCTTTACCCTTCCTCAGCTGTCCCTCTTCTGTTGGAGGATTCCCCATTCACTATATATCCAGAGAATAATCCTGTCCTTCTTGTCGTGAGTGCCCCCTGGTACTTTGGAATACTTTATGGCTCAGGTAGGAGTAGAGACCTGGGATTCTCATTAGAGACTTTCAGTTTATCCCTGCTTTCAGTCACATGCCTTCTGCTGCCTTCTGAGATTGGTCCTTCCTATTGCTGAACTTTTCTGAAGGTCTTTGAATCAATTCAGCTCACATTTCCCCACTGAAGGCAGTTAGGTTTCAACTTCCTGATAATGGAGTCAATTTAGTGTTCAACTTTCAGTTACAACTTGCTCTGCAAAACAAATTTTAGAGCTTTAAAATAACAACAGTCATTTTACTGTCTCCCACAGCTTCTGTGGAACAGGAATTCTGAAATGGTTCAGTTAGGAAACCTGAGTGAGTTCTGACTCAGAATCTGTCATACCATTGCAATAAGGTGCAGCTAGAACTGGAAGAATGTGGACAAGAGCTACTGGGAGCTAGCTGGCACCTCTCTCTAAGAAGCCTCAGGACTTCTCCATGTGGTCTCTACTAATGTATGAACTACTGATACATGCCACAACAGGAATGAATCTCAAAATTATTATGTTGAGTAAATGAACCTAGGCACAAAATGCACATACTGTGTGATTCCATTTATATAAAGTTCAAGAGGATGCCAATATAATCCATAGTGTCAGAAGTCAACACTTTGGGGACTGGAGGAATTGTTGATGTTGACTGGAAGAGCATAAGAGAAACTTCTGAGTGATAGTAGTCTTTTATATTATCTGGATGATGGCCACAGGTGGGTTTATATATGGAAAATTTATTGAACTATATAATGTTGATGTGTTCACTTTATGTATATTAACTGTTTGTATCTATATTCACATACTTTTATATATAGTAGACTTTTTATTTCTATCTATTGATGGTATAAGTGAAAATAAAAATCTCATACCCCTGTCCTCAGGGTTGATCAGTGCAGAAAAATTTAAAAACCTTCTGCTCTTCTTCTTCCTCTTTCAGATCAATTAGGGAAAAAGCCCAGTATAAGAATTTGATCTGGTCAAAAGTAAAGAAAGCTAAAGTTAAAAGCTGCTGCAAGTTCTGCAGTTAAGCACATTGATAAAAGGCTGGTGG